ACTAAGGGCAATGTGAAGGGCAAATCATCTAACCTAAGATTGCTCCAATGATTATATAAGCCTTAAAAGAGTAAAAGTTCAGAAAAGCACCTCAGCTGGAAGAAACTCTCTGCAGCCAAAAAAGAAAAACTGTTCATCCTGTTCCATAGTAAAACGCATTTTCTATGGCATATTGATCCGATAGATCCATACTCTGATTAATAAGGATTTAAGTCAAGTTGAAGAAATTTTAAAGGATCAAGCCTTGAACAGACTAGGACTTTCCTGGAGTGGTAGGAGCTTTCGAGGATTCTGAGGTATTTATTTGAGCATTACCTTCTGATGCATCCGCATTTCTTCCCTGTTCTTCTTCAACCATCTTCGCCTTTGTCTTCTGTCCCACTTCCTCAGCAGCTTTCGTAACCCTACTATAGGCGCCAGTAACCCAAGTTGCCCCGGTAAGAATATATCTGTTCCTCATAATGGAAGATCCCGCAGTGCTAACAGTCTGCTCAGCAACTGCAAAGGCAGACTTGGTCTTCTCAGAAACCTGAAGCTTTTGGTCCATTTCCTTCACTTTGTCATTCACAATTGTGGCTCCAACTCCGACTTTTTCAGTAAAGCCTATCCTTTGGTCGAACGAAGAAACCGTGGCTGATGCAGTGGAAGTAAACTGGTGCTTCTCATCGAAATCCTTGGCTTTGTTAAGTGCGTCCTTGCCCAAGATAAAGCCCTTGGCTAACATGCTGCTCACAACATCTTCTGCCGTTAGGATAGCAGAATCAGCTGCACCTACAGTTTGATTTTCAGTTGCCTGCACACCAAAACATTTTCACTAGGAACCGCCACTACTTGGAAGCTAGAATGTTATAGGACCAGAGGGATCTTAAGATATGATACATACGGTAGCTCCTAATAAAGCATTAGGTGGTAGCTTGTATTCAGGGTCCAAATCTACGGTGACCGACTGATCAACAATAGTAGATCCCTGGAAAACGCAATTTCAGTTTATTGTTTTACAAGAACAGCAGTATGAAATGAAATAAAAAGAAATAATTGCTGCATGTCCAGCACTATTAATCATAGGCAGGCAAAAACAAACATAACTAGATGTATACAAGAAGCCACTAATCCTAGACAAAACTTACATTTATGTTCTGGGTTGTCAAATGTAGGCATTCAAAGATAAATATGTTGACTATCCCACGACAATAAAGAACAGTATTTGGGGGTAACCCCACCCACGATGACTAAGGATACAAACTTGTAACCACAAGGTCACGAGTTCGAATCACAGCCTTCTTGGGTTGAGCTGGTCAGTTATGGGCAACCTAGGCTGGTTTATCTCCTTGTGGTCCTTTGCCGGCTAAGGCCACAAGGCAGGTTTTACCTAGTGCATACCCTTGGGTGCGTGTTTCCCTCGTCACCCCAAAGAACAGTGCTTGCACGGGCTGATTGAATTTGGGAAACTTATTGACATGAAAAAACACTGATTTTATTACTTCCATAGGACATGAAATGTGAACATACTGAAAGAAGCACTGCAGTCTCTGCACCCTGGGGATCCTTGAATGTAACATAAGCAGTTTCAGACCGTTCATTGGCACTGGAAAAAATGCAAAGGCAAATTACGAAAGACCAATAATAACATAAAAATCACTCGGAATGGTAAAAGAAAAGTAACAATAAAATAAAACTAGCCAGTCTTTGTTCCATTTAATAACTACTTTAAATTGCCAAGTTTAAAATAGCTAAAATGCCCAGAAAAACCAACCTTTGCATTTCAACATATTCAATTTCTCCAGAAAATGAAAAAAACTCCATGATATCTTCTTGAGAAGCACTTAAGGAAACATTGCACACTTTCACTGTTCTTACCTGCCATTGCAACAAACAAATAGATAGAAAAGGATTGGAAAACAAGTGATAAACTTGAATTTGTACTACACTACTACTTGAAAAATATTTTTTAAATCCCCAAAAACACTCAATTTATGACTATATGCATGGCAAAGCTTTATGACTTATGAGATATGTCCATTGTTAATATAAGGCATTTTATGAATATCGTATCCATTTCCCTTAGCAAACGAATATCGCATAAATTCCATAGAGTGATCAGATACAACTTCAAACAAAAACAAAAAACCAAAAATGAACACAAAAAGAAAGTTCACGTATTTTTTCAAAAAAAAAAAAGTGTCAACCAGATTGAAGAAATAATAACCTACAAGATCGACGTATTCGGGTGGATCATAGATCAATGAAGAAATTCGATAAAAAACTACGAATTTGTTGATCCATTCTAGAAAAATTCCATCAATCACGCAGCAAATCAATTCAATGAAACTGGAATAATTCACGAAAAACGGAAACAATAAGGGCCGCCAATATACCGAGACACTCACCGACATCGAGTCCCAGAGCCAACAGACTGCAACGGAGCAATCAAAGGAAGAGGTGAATGCAATGTGTGTGGCGGTAGGGTGGCAGAGAAGATGGAGAGGTCTGAAGAGTTTAAGCAGTGGGCAATCACCTTGCTTTTTTTTTTTTTTTTTTTGAAAACCAAATCACCTGCCTATGCTCCTCACATCTCCTGTCATTTTTCATGCTGAGATAATTTGTGGTAAGTTAAGATTTAAAGTTTAATTAAAAAAAACACTAATCACACAAAAACACCTTTTAAAAAAAATAAATTTGTTAATATCTTTTAATAACTTTAAATAAATTAAAAATAACAAAAGTCTACCCTGATATAGTATACTCTGTATTATTTAGGGTCGAGTTGAATCTGGTCGAGAAGTCAAATGAAGGTGGAATGGTATGGTCGGAAAGCTAATTGAAAGTGAAAAATGTGCTCAGAAAACTAGCTATGGGTCTGTCCATATATATAAGGTCGAGAAGTTCTGGTTGGAGTGGTGTCTATTTAGAGCCCAAAATCCCCTAATGCACTCAATGCGCTTTATATAGGTGAAGATAGGGAACAGGTTCCCGGACCTCGGCATGTTCTCCACGTATTAAAAGCATCTTGGGTGAACGGCGGTGTGTTTTACACTTTACACTTGTCTAAATAAAGCTGACAAGCCACGTGAACGTGTAACGAGCCTTCATATGGTCTAGTTAGGCGTATTTAAGGTTAATAACCGGTTATTCAAAGATTTTCCGACCACATTTTGGTTAAGAATATGTGATCCTTTTATTAATTATGGTCGTAATGATAAATAAGCAGATCTGAGCGATTACCGATCGAAATTCCGATGAGTGGTCCACAAATAATGAGACCAGGAGGTCGGCATACACTCTCAAGGTCGGGAAATATACTCGCAAAATCGAGAAGTGCACTTACGAGGTCATGAAATACACTAACGAAGTCGGAAAATGCACCTATGAGCTTCGTATGACAAGTGGGTTACCCTATAACCCTATCATAAGCCCCCATTCCCTATGGTGCCAACACAACGAAATTGACTAAACAACACAATATATGTAACACCCCGTGTTACGGCCTCCGAATCCGGACTAATTATGTAATTAATTCTGTTAATGTATAATTAAAAAAGATTTAATTGGACTAGAATTCCCATTAATTAATTAGTGTAGTCCACAATGGATCATGGACCCAGATCCTCAATAAAGTCTTTAATTCTGCTAGGAATAGAGAAAGTGGATCTTTACTATTCAGATTCTAGTTAGGACTACTGAATCTATATATAGGGAATTAGAAAGCATTTAGAAACACAACCACAATTAATTCTACCACGTGAGACATTCCCCGAGGAAACCTAGCAAAGGAATTCCCCACCACCGAACCTAGGAAGATCAATTGGAGGAGGATCTTAGAGAAGAACCTTAGTAGCCAAGGATATCGATTAGGGCTAAGAGGTAACCCATGTCTTACAAAACCTATTTTCCTTGCTATTGTTTATTGATTGGCTCCGATTGAATGATTGATTGTGTGATTTTGTATGTATATCTTGTTAGAGCTTGTCTTTAGGTTTATACGATGAATTCTTGTTATTCTTGATGTTCTTGATGACCCTGTGTGGTTATTGGTGTGATATTGTATTTAATTATGTCTAGAGCTTGTCCCTAGGGTTTATGTCGTGAATCTCGTGTTGTGATGTTCTTGGTGTTCTTGGGTGGGTTTATGCATGCTAGGGTGTTGATTCTAGTTTAGGACTTGTCGTTAAGGCTTTGCATATAGATTTCTTGATGTTCTTGAGGTTCCGGATGCTCCTGAACCGTTATGTGATTGATGTCGAGTCTTGGCATGCTTAGGAATCGTGTTAGAATGTGATTGGGATGATTCTTGGTTCAATCTTTGTTAATCGAATCCGTGTTGTTGTTGATACGTGTTGGAATGTGTTTGGACATGGCTTTGCGTTCCACGAACGAACACTGAACCGGAGATCTACCTTCGTACCAGTGGGGGGTAGGTGGAGGGAACGAGTCCCCACCACCTACCCGCGGTTGACTGGACGATTCCAGCGGGCAGTCGACTGCCCGCCGGGCACCCACTGGAATCATGACCCCCCACCGACGGGTGGTCCTCCACCCGTCGCCTACCCGCTGGAAAGTGGTGACGCGGCGGGTCGTTTTTCCCCGTGTCCCGTTACACACCGTTCGATGTTTAGGAGTCTCGTATGATGTTTTGAGTACCGTTCTAGGAATTTATGTGTAGTGTGTATCGTTGCTATTATACCTTGATTGTTATTGTTGATTATATGTTGTTTGATTGAATGATGATGGGTATTGTGATCATTGCGCAATGATGGTTGAGATCGATGATAATGCGATTGTGATTGGTGTAAATGAATTGTTGGCAGATAGCACAACGAGTGCTCGATTATCGTGCTAAAGGCACGGACCACCCTTTAGACTTGCTGCTAAAGGCTTGGGTCAGGGTATAAGCGCTGCGGTGCCATGTCAGAGCTATATGCGTTGACCCCTTGGTAGTGGTGCTAGAGGTACGGATCATGCGAATGGCACTTCGGTGCTACCATGTTGGTGGACTTGTTGGTGGTATGTCGGTGGGGGCATGTAGTTACCCAGAGGGATAAGGGAGGCGATATAAGGGTGGCCTGGAGGTACAGGTTGGAACTGATATAAGGATGGAGAGGAGTAAATGTTGGAACTTGGTGTAAGGTTGGAAGATGGATTGTGTGCTTTGATGATTACTTGCTAATTGATTGTCATTGGATCTCATTGTTGCCTTTAATTGCTATTTATGAGCTTACTTGTCTATTATGTCTTGTCTTGTGTTCTTAGGATGCATGCTAGTCTTTATGATTGTTCTATAGTGTCAAGTCTGTTGTTGTGTCTTCAGTCTTGATCTTGGTTTAAAGCTGGAGTTGCTTAGGTTATATATGTATTCCGATTTCAAAATGATTTTCTTATATCTACCTATATTGTACTTAACGCGTGGGAGTGGGTTACCAGCATTATTCGCTAACGGTTGTTACACTGTATGTTTTTCAGGCACGGATCAGTAGCTTCAGAGTGCGCTAGATGGACACAAGGACCTAGCTTAGATAGTTTAGTATTAGTTAGATGGCCTATGTGTAACACCCCATTTTTCTTAAACTTACTTAAGCAACTAAACCTTTAAATATCAACTAAACAGCGAAAATAAACTTAATAAATTAACATAAGGGAGCGTCACCGCCACAACCACCCTTCACGGTGATTGCACTGACTAGGGTAAAACTAACAAAACAAGTCTACTAATCCGAGAATCTAGGGGATAAAACCCCGGTGTTCAACACCATCAAAACAAGGGTTTACTACAAGTCATCAAACGAGTTTAGACTACAACATTAATCTAACTAGTCTAACTCGGGACTCTCTCTCGTACCTACGAGCTCGAACCACCTGAAAGGGGTTAACAAATAACAAGTAACAAGCAAACCCGTTAGCACGAAGCTAAGTATAACGCCACTCAACTCTGTAAAATACATACAGTATATAACTTGGAAAACTAGGTTTCACATTCTTAAGTCAAACAAGATTAACACTCAAGCATGCTTTGGCGTAACATCTAGATGCTTGCAACTTATAACTCAAAAGACATACTTAAACATGTATAAAACCTCACATGCTCCTCTTACGATTAATCTAAAGCTTCTCACAGCAATCAAACAATCATGTTTATGCTATCAAATACTCATCATGCATTCTCTCACAAACACATATAAGCAAACTCGTACTACTACTACTACTCATGTAATCTCGTGCAAGATATGTAAGTCAACAACCTCATGCTTTTACTTATGCAAACTAGTACAAGATATATAAGTAATCATCTCATGCTTTTATTTATGCAATCTAGTGCAAAATAGATAAATAAACCATCTCATGCTTCTTCTTATGTAATCTAGTGCAAGATAGATAAATAAATATAGATATACTGTCACTCTCTAAAAAGAATACTTTTCTGTGGAGGTTTCTGATGTCATAAATGACTTGCTTTGCTTCTCTTTTCTTTGAGTCTCAATGACTCACTTTCTTTCTTTCTTTCTCTTGAGTCTCTCTTGATTCACTTTCTTTCTCTTGAGTCTCTTTTGATTCACTTTCTTCCTCACTCCTCGTGGGCGAGGCCGGGCTTCACTCTAGTGTGAAATAACCCATTGGAAGCGGCGTATAGCCGACCAATGTTTCATCCCGCCCATAGAACCAATCTCGTGGTCCTCTCACTCAACTCTATGGAATCAGGTATCGAACTATCAGTGTGCACACCCCCTAACCAGGATTCCAAGCATGACGGGTAGTTTCCAACCTTACTGTGTAACTTGAGAATACGCCGCGTTTAGAGGTGGCCACGGGCCGGTTCAAGGTCGAACCAACCCTGAATCGGCCCGGTAAAAAGTGGGCCTGGGCCTCACTGGGCTTGAGCCAGGCTTAGCTCGAACTGGAACCGCCTTGTTAAGGGCCGGTTCAGGTCCTTTTAAAAAAAATTCGAGGCCCAGCACGGAACCGGCCCATGGCCCAGGCCCGAGCACGACCCAGGCGCCTAACCGGCCGAGGCACGAGCCCGGCCCAGGCCCGGGCAAACACAGCCATGGCAGCAAAGCATGCTAGCTTTGCTTCCATGGCTAAATGCCTATAATTCTAAAAAAAAAAATAGTAATTTTGATTGTGGCAGCTAGACTTATTACTTACTACTCATCCCTGCAACGTGCAACGGCCAAATATATTTGGCCGTTGCATGTAGCCTCTGTTGGAGGCTAGACTAGGCTTGGCCTCCGGTAGAGGCTACTCCTGTTCTCGCATCTCGGGTAGTGCAACGGCTAAATTTTTTTTATTTTTCTTCTTTATATTTATCATTTTACCCTATAAATACTCTTATCCAATTTATTTTTATCACACAAAAATTCTTAATCCGACACTTTCTTACTTCTACTCACAACAATTCTCCATAAATTAAAATCAAACCCAATTTAAAAGTCTTTTAAAATTTTTTAATTTATCTTCTAACATAATTTAGTGAGTAAAAATCAAATGAACTTTATAAACTATACTCAT